AAGCATAAGAAGTGTTAAATCGGAGAGATGATCTAATGGGCATTACTTGAGAGTCAGTGGTGATGGACGTGTTTTTCAAATTGTTGAAATATTTGTTTTAATCAGATATTTTGCAATGCTTGTATTCATTATTTAAAAATATATTCTGTTTATCTAGAAATCTCAAACAAATCACTGATGACTCGACTAAATTCTAATCCACGAGGTGAGATTCTGATCCGTAGGTTATTGTTAACTTATGTGTCACTGTCAACATGTCATTGTCCTAAGTGTTTACTGCATACTGCGGGTAATTTTTGTTTAGGCCTAGGTCTACCATTGTTTAGTCTAAATTAATACTACAGTATTCCATGGTGGTCTAACCTTTGACCAGTGAACTGTGGACCAGACAATAAGTAATGATAACAGCCGAGGAGCATTTTGTGTTTTCTTTAAGTTTTAACTTAAGTTTAACTTTAATTGAAATTTATTACATGGCTGTGGTACTGGTAGTCATAAATAGTTAAATTATGACATAGTAAATTGATTTTTATATTAATGAAATAATTGTGGCGAAATACATAAATTTTCCTGCATTTAGTTAATCATTTTTCACCCACCCACCCCAATTTTTGAATGAGTTGGCTGCATGAAGTCTATGAGAAGGTACTATTTCTGAGAAAACGTTTCTTTCATTATCCAGCTTGCAATTTTTGTTCTAGTTCTAAATTCATGCATTAGTTTTGACCATGTTTATTGAATATTGGCTAATTTACAAATCTCAAGGGTTTTTTGAACTTCATAGCATGTATGACCTGCTAAGTACTTTCTAAAAGAGTTGTAATTTCATCTTTAACGTAGCTACTCTATTAATAACATAAATTTGTAGTATGCAGTTGATCATTACATTATATTTAATCTGTTTCCAGAATTTTCAGATATGAAATTAGCTCATAAGTCAATGGAGATTAAAAAGTAAATTACTATAATAAAATTACCAACATTAGTATAAAGAAAATCATTTCACATTATTTTCTTTTTTTTCAACTATATTTTTCAAAGGACTTAAACATAAACGTTTTTTTCTAAACGTTGAACGGTAATATTTCTGATCAAAAAGTGTAAGTGTATTATATTGCCCAGATAGTATCGTAAATCGTTTTATGCCACTTATTCCAAATAATGTTGTTAATCATTGAACCCTAGTACATATCCTTTTCTTGTTAGCAATGGCTCATCTTAAAAAGTCACAGTTCCCAAGGAAAAGACATTTGTACTAAAACAACAGATTTAACACTGTTAATCACTACATAAAAGCTATTTTTCCTGACCACAAAAATTAATGTACGGTGAAAATTTTGTTGTTATTAAGGAGTTTTAATCCATCTGGGAATTTTAGTTTACTATTAAAATAGTGGGATGTCTGTAGTAGTGTTTTATTATCTTAGTCAATTCCAAAATACAGAAATGGAAAATTTTATAAATTACAAAAATGTCGCTGATTGATTTCATTACAGAAAACAACTTAAGGGAAGTGAAGAGAACAAAATTATTGATGTGTATCTTATTAAAAGATCAATAAGATTATTTGAAAAATAAAATGATACTGAAATAAATTTTTAATTAACATGTTGGTTATATATCGAGAAATGCTAGCAGGAGTGAAAATTCAGTTTTCTTTTCAAAATTTGAAATTTTGGTAAATAAAAAAATAAAGATTTTATTCTGTTTTATGAAGAGGGGAAAAACAGAAAACAGCAAAATTTAATAATCTATAGCAGATTCAACAAAAATCACCATATAGTATTTTACAATCAATTTTCAAACCTACCATATTTTTCAGAATATAAGACGTACCCTTATTTTGAAGACAAAGTTTTGGAAAAAAAAAGCTACAGTTGCATTTGAAAGATAGTATATATTGTTCTAAACACAAAAGAGCTCATTTGAATCCAAGGCAAGCACTCAAAAACGATTTTGTATTTGTTAAAGTTAGGCCTGAAACGGCCTTATTCTGCTCCACATTAAACAGGGATTTTCGTGTATTTACAAGCTTTTTCACTCTCATCTATTACTATAATTTATTTTTTATTATTTAGGGAGCATTATAAATAGTTATATTTTTAAAAGAAAAAAACTACTATTGTTATAAATAACACATTCAATTGAACTAAATTATGCATGCCTATTTAAATATATTTACACATGGTTTGTGTATATCGTATATGTACATATATATTATTCATACCTTCGATGTATAGGACGCAAGCAGATTTTGACACCAAATTTTGGGGTAAAAATTTGTGTCTTATACACCGAAAAATACGGTATTTGTTGTGGTATGTTATGAAATTTTTTAACACAACTTCAGTTTGTATTAGTTTAACTGATTTTATAAATGTGACCATAAATCAATCAAGTTATTCATTCATAATTTAAAATCTCCAAACATAAATTACCAGTATCAATATGATAATTGCTGGATTTTTCTGTTGATTATTAAAATTGTTTTTTCCAAAATGGTCTTCTTACCTCTTTGCACACTGTAACTATTCCTTGCACATCTGCCTTGAGGTCTGCACACTGTAGCTATTCCTTGCACATCTGCCTTGAAGTCTGCACACTGTAACTATTCCTTGCACATCTGCCTTGAGATTTGCACACTAACTATTCCTTGTACATCTGCCTTTGAGGTTTTGAATAGTCCACTAGCCTTGAGCTATCTGCCACTAAGGCACATGTTTTTATGTGAACTGTGCTAGTGCATGATGTCATCATCATGCAACAATAGCCCTCCAACAAAAAGAGTGTGTAACATCCTCCATGCACAGTAGATCTCTATAAATACCTATGCTCAAAATTGATTTCTTTGATTTCCTCAGCACTGTTGTGAATGGATGTGCTTATCAAAGTTTAAATTTTGTTAAATTTAATGAGACTTGTGTTACCTTGATTCCAGCATTAACTTTTGTTCCTTTCATTTTATTTGGTTTAAAATTCACTTTGAAACTACATTGCCTTTCTATTACTGAGTAAATGAATAATTTGATCTGGAGAATTGTTTTAACAAAAATAAATTCACAAGTGATGGTGACTACTACCTCCTCTCATGGCTCTGGTGATGTTGCTAACACTGCCCCTATTTTGTCTGTGGCCACTAGAGTCTCATTAACTGTGGAAAATGTTTCTGCTATTGTTCAGTGTGTCATGGGTTCTTTGAATGTTTTTATTGCTGTATCTTGTTGTCCCTACATCAAAGTACATTCCTCTCTTTTTGAACCTAATCATTCTTCTCCCTATCCCTCTTCCTGAACAGTAGCCCAAGAGTTGGTGATGGGTGGTGATGACTAGCTGCCTTCCCTCTAGTCTTACACTGCTAAATTAGGGACAGCTAGCGCAGATAGCCCTCGTGTAGCTTTGCGCGAAATTCCAAAACAAACCAAACCAAACCCTCTTCCTGTTGAATTGGCCATTGCATGTTCCATTGGTGACTACCTTCCTTTGCACCCAGTCAACACAGGCTTTGTGGAGCACATCTATTTCTATTTATAGTCTTCTGGACCCAATTTGCAGCTAATTGGTGGGTCATTCAAGTTTTTACAAACAAGTTTTCTTCACTTCTCGTCTATTCCTCCTCGTCTGTTTCCTTTTCCCGTTACTTTTCTTCCTCCTCCTGATCATTGTCTTCCATATCTTAGCTGTGGTATTGGATCTTTTGGATGAGAGAGTTATCAAGAGGGTCATTTGCACCTCATCAGGGTTTTATTCTTGTCTTTTTGTTATCTCCCAAAGACTGGGGTCCCATCATCAACCTTTTTTCTCTCAACCATTATCTATTGGTTTCTCAGTTCAAGATGGAAGTGTTTCTTCTTCTCTGCAAGTCCCTTTACCTTGGATTATGGATGACCAAGGTTGATGTCTTGGACATCTTTCTACATATTATGATTGCAGTCTTCCTGATTTTATTATTTTTATTTGTTTACCAGAATCAGGTATATCAGTTTTGAGTTTTCCCTTTCAGCTCCTTATGTATCCATGAGTCATCAGAGCATTTACTCATCATGTCCACAATTTTAGATTTTGTTTCCATTATTACATGGATAACTGTCTCCTCCTCATCTCCTCTAAAAAGGTCTCTTTCTGTGGTTGCCCTCATACAGAACTGGTATCATCTCTTTCTGTATATTTATCCTACTCTTCACCTTCCCCACCTTTTTGATTTTGATTTGTGACACTCTTTATCAGATCCAATTGATAGCCCTCTTTTGGCTGGCTCAGTCTTGGTTTCCTCTTTTTTGCTGACTGGCATTTGGGACATTTCTGATTCAGTTCCAGTCACTCTTGTTACAACCTCATACGTATCTTTTTTACCCAGAGTGTTGTTCTTCATCTTCATATATGGAATTTTCCTGATCCTTTATTCATCATTCAAGTTTCTCCAACCAAATAACACTTTGAACTGGTGTATTTAAGTGTTTTACACTCACAAAACAGAAACCTATCATTCTATAGGTATTTAAAGAACTTCTAGCATTCCGCCACAATGTTTAAACAACTCTATTCATATAACACTTCTTTTATCCTATTCGTGTTGCACTTCTACTCTTACTGTCAACAAAAATGGTGTCTCTCTCACTGCTGATCCATCCACCAATTTCACCCACCAGCCCATCCTACTGTTGCCCACCTTTTTGCATTATTTATCTGGTAGTTCAACCAGGGCAACCTTATCACCTTCCTGTTGACTTTTTTTCTATGGTTCCATCTTTTCCTCCCCTTTTCTTTTGACCCTGTTCCAGTCCTTCTTCATTCATTGCCCCCCATGTTCAAATTCAAAAGTGCATGCAAACAGTAATGCATTGCCTACAGTGCCTACTGCCAATATGCCCAAACACCAAGCACATGGAAAGTGATATAATAGATACTCAATATATATAAAGTTATGCATGAGCTTAATGTATAACTTTATATATAATAGATACTCAATATATATAAAGTTATACATTAAGCTCATGCACTGTTGAAAGCTTTGAAACAAAGAAATATTTATTCACTTATCAATTTTGATAAAAGAGTTAGCACAAAGGATCACATATAAAGTGTAATAGACTTAAAATAAGATCCAAAACTGAGGCGCTTTCGAATAATGTATAAAAACAACAACTAGAAAGTTTGTTTATGATAAAGGTACTAAGACTTTCTGCCACTGTCTGTAATTTTGAACCGCTAACTACAGGGAAGACAACTGGCTGGCAGCACCACCACCATATTTTGAACTAATTTTTATCGATGAATAGTGGAATTGATTGTTATGTTATAACACCCCCATGGCTAAAAGACCAAGCACAGGTTTCAATCCCATGATTTATAGATTGCAGGTTAAGCACTTTAACCAGGCCAAAACTAGAACATCTATTCAGATAATGTGGTATTATTGTGTTAACAATACTGTTTAACTTCTCCATCCTAGCACTGGTAATGTTTTATATTTATGATGATAGTATTAGAGCTGGGCAACTAATCGGTTACCTGTGAGCTTTGACTAATTGATTAATTGAAATAATGATGAAATCAATAAATATCATGAAGAAAAATAATTAAAATTCATATTTCCACTTATTGTTGTTTTCAATAATTTCAAATATTCAAGTAATTGAAATACTTTTATTTTGAGTTCTCATTATTAATTTCAATTAATTCTAGGTTGTTCGGGTTTATCGAGTAGTGTCACAACTTACAAAAATAATCATCAAGCTTTAAAAACAGCGTAAAGAAAGTACAAACACTGTAGAAGAATGTAGTGTGTGTGCACTGTTTTTAAGCCTAATGAAAGGTACAGGCCTGAAATGTAGCACAAGTAAACACATTTTTAGTTAAATGTGCCCCAGTAACCTTCTTTAATAACTTTTCTGCACCTTAATTAAATACTGATAATAGATAATGTCATTTTGCTAGAAATAAGTCAAAATAATAGGCTTATGTTCTCTGAGTCTTTCTTCACTCTATATAGAAATTGTGATCACAATAGCAATTATCTATTTATCAGAAATTTCCTCAATGGTTTGTAACTTTTCAAGATGAGGTAAAACTTCTGTCAGCTCTTTATTCAGCACTAAGCTTTTCTTAAACAGCTTTCACTTCAAAAATTATAGAATTTTTAAAAAACATTCTTATTTCAATGAAATGAACAGGTTTGTATTGTTTTCTTCACAAGTGAAAAACTGTGTAAAATTTTAATCAAATACAATTTTTCCATAATCAATTTGGAAGATGCTTTTCACATCATCATTATTTCAATAGACAAAATATCTATTGACACCCACGTGTTAGAGAAGATCATATCTGTTTCAAACGATGAGGATGCAAATAATAAAACACCAACGTGGGGTCAGTATGACCCCATACCACCTGCTGTTAATGATTGAAAATTTGATTCTGTCGTTCTAGGTTTTATAGTAGCTTTTGTTACAACTTTATATAATTATTTTTAGAAGGGGGGCTAGCAACTCTTGATGGACTCGTGTGGGCCTCAGACACAAGATATCAATTCTATCTGCATTATACACCACTTAAGGTAGAAGTTTTGAGCTTTGACATAGTTTGGTATTATACATTTTCTAAAATACAAACCTCATTTCATGTCTTTCTTAGTCACCCTGCTTGTTTTTTCATGTCTACTTTTACCCAAGATTTTACTTTAAGAAGTTATTTGACTAACATTATAACTTTAATAATCAATATGACTAAATTGGTTTAAACTAACAAACTTTTCAAAAATTTGCAGTAATAATTTGTTTAACCATCTGTTCAGCCACAAGATTCAAGACTTTTAATAAATAGTCTAAATCTCTTCAAATCTTCAGTAACTTTAGTACAGTTTGAAATACCCAGTATTGATATCATCTGCTTATTCAACCAATTTACTTGTTATTCTTATTACCTTTAACCTTGGGTTTTTTTTAGTCTGTGCATTGTGAGAAAATATGAGAGATGTAATTTCATACATTTATTACACTTGAGAAATTAGGACTTAATCATACAAAATATTTCAACTCAATCTTAGTTCTTTTGTGTTACTGTAAACAAAAGTTATTTTAACCCTTGGAATTCTGAACATTTAGAAGTTCTGAACATTTGTACATTTCTGTATTGTATGTAGATGGTAACGACTACATTATACTAGTTTTTAACATTGTAACATTTTAGTTTGAAAAGGAGATCTATAAATTGTTATGTGACCATGTCAATTGATGATCAAAGTGGATGATCAAATGTTTCCTGATCTTGAAACCCCGATGTTTATTTTGATGTAGAGGTATCCTTTCAGCTTTTATGATTCTCCAGGATTAGGCTGTGCTCAGGAAATATTTGTAAATGAAATATTACTATACTTTTAATTTTTAGTCCTAATCAATGTAGGTACCTTGCTTTGATCAGAAGATATTAATAATTCTAACATAGAGATGAAAGAGGTTTTCAGTTAAAAATTGTCTGTTTGTTTATTTCAGGGTATGTCATCGTGGTCAAGTTATTACTTTTGTTAGGTACTTTTTGTGGAAGAACTGTTGGTGATAATCAGACTTTCTGTCCCAAATATCTTGTGGAGAAATGTATAGACTGTCCAGCAGGAACTTTCCAAAGTCTGAGTATGTGAGACTTGGTTTCCACAAATATTCATCAGTAGAAAGTTTAATTTCTTTTTAAAATATGACAAGAACAAAAGGAATGGTATTATAACTGGCCCAAAAATATTAATTAATTAGGGTAAAGCACTTCATGTTTGTATTATTATTATTATTGAGTCACTGTTCCTTTTGTTTTTATTATCTTGAAAATGGGCTGTTTTAACCTAATTAACATTAAAAGGTGATAAATCAATACATCCAGACATACATTATGTATAGTATATTTAGTGCTTAGTCTAAATCTCAAAGAAAATTTGTAGATTTGTTAATTTACAATGTCTAAATTTAATACTTCATAATCACCCCATGGTGTTTTACACCTCATTAAATTTATATTTGGCCTGGCATGGCCAGGTAGTTAGGGCACTTGAATTGCAATCTACTGGTCATGGGTCTGAATCTTCATCTCACTAAACATGCTCACTCTTTCAGCTGTGAGGGCATTATAATGTGATGTTCAGTCCTATTATTCATTGGTAAAAGAGTAGCCCAAGAGTTGGTGATGGGTGGTAATGACTAGCTGAATTCCGTCTAGTCTGTCACTTCTTGTAGCTTTGTGCAAAATTCAAAATAAACCAAACCAAATATATATTTTCTTTTAGTTAATTAATTTAAATGATTTAGATTTCTAAACTTGCAGGGGGTTTGTTATAACCACTTTTTACCTCCTGTTTATAGCCTCAGATCTTTGTCTATGCTGTCCATCTAATGGCCAGTGTCCTGGAACAGAATATTGCATGGATTGTCCTCCTGGCCAGTTCCAGAACAAATCAAGAGCAACCACCTGTAATCTGTGTCATGCAGGCACCTTTTGCAAGTGAGTACCTGAAAAAATTGTTTAATATATAGTTTGTAGTTCTGTATTCATAATGTTTTTGTTTTTTCTGCCAGGTATATCACGTTGATAGACACACTTCACCTCACTCATACATGTTCATTGTACTTTAATTATTTTGTCAGAATAAATAACATAAGTTAGAAAACTGAATGAACAGAAAGAGATACTTTGATCATTTTTTATTATTATTATTGTGAGCTTTTATGATTGAAGTAAACAGGCTGGCTTTCTCATTCAATTGTTTTTTATGTTTTTGTAAATCTTCTTAAATGTTGGCCCGGCATGGCAATCTGAGGGTCGCGGGTTTTGATTCTCTGTCCCACAAAACATGCTAGCTCTTTCTGCTGTGGGAGCATTATAATGTTTTTACCTGGTTGCACGAAATTCCAAACAAACAAACCTTAAATGTTGCTCATCTAGTGATGCACAGATAACCCATTGTGTAGCTTTGTGCTGAATTCCAAACAAACAAACATCTAATTGTTGTACAGCATTCAAGATTAGCAAAAGTACTACCCCATATTTGGAAACATTAACATCATCCACCTACAGGTCTGTAATGTTTCTGGTGATGTTCTTAGACTACTAGACTGTTGAACACCTATGAAAGTGTAATGTTGTATGGCAATCAGGTCATTTCATTCTTGTACACTTCAGATTGACAATAAATGAGAAATCACATTTGGAGCATTACTTACGATGCAGTTTTAACCCTCTCACACAAAGCTATGTCGATCTTCTTCTGTCTTTTGAGCATTGCTAAAAAAGTTTCAAAATCCGTGCACCAGTCTATATACCCCATCAATTTCCTGCCATTTCTGAACATGTACGTATCAATTGACTACTAGTATTGCACCACCTATATTGGTGCAACCAGCTCCCTCTGCTATTCCTGCTCAATCCTCACTTTCAAGATTTGGCAGGCTACAAAATAAAAACACTGGCAGGTGGGAAGAAGGGTGGTAAGAACCTGTCAGAAATACACTTTCAGTGTAAGAAAAATGTTAACTTCTGGCACAGTCTTACATCCTCTCACACAAAGCTAGAATCCCACTTTGTGACCACCCAGAATGAACAGGTATGGTATGAGATGAAAATTAAGCACACTTGTGGGGTACAGCACTACTTCTGGAACAGGTGTGCTCTTTGCCCTTGAAGTAGGAACTTAATCTGATACGGGTTTGTGAACATACATACCTAATTCTGTGCACATCCTTTTTATCCCCTCATCTGTCCGGTTGAGGTCAACATCCTAATGCCAATTGTGAACATACATACCTAATTCTGTGCACATCCTTTTTATCCCCTCAACCAGACAGATGAGGTTCCATAACTCATCCTTGGCATTAGGATGTTGAGGATAAAAAAAAAATTCTAACATAATGTATCATATGACAACATAAACACGGTAGCTAGAGCATGTGGACCGTGTTATATATATGCTTAGAGGGCAGAAGAAGATCGAGATAGCCTTGTATAAGCTTCTGAAGGTAAGTACCTATCGGAAATATATTTTCATTGAAAGAAAAAGTTAACTTTGGTTATACTTTGTACAACAGTTTCTGTAATTAAGTAGAAAATAATAATGTTTTCAGCAATATACACAAAAGTATTTTCATAAGTAATTATTATGGGATATGCATAAATCAGTTATGTTATTTGTCCTACCCTTTGTATGCGTTGTGAACAGTTGTTTTTTTATACTACTGTTTTTAGTACAGAGGATAATTTGCTTCGAAAACTTTGCATAGCAGTTGAAAAAATCTGTACAACACTTTACCATCATGTGTCTAACATGCTATCTTGGGTATGTGCAATCCAGAAAAACAATACTGCATCAAATTGCTTGATTCTTGAGAATAGCATTCAAAAGACTATTTATTTTCTGTGAAAAAATATTTTAATGGTATAATTAGTATTGCTATGAATTCTTAACCTTTCAAATACTACTGTACAATGTCTTTTCCATAGTTATAACATAGTTCTGTGTATTTAATTTATTTCAGTTTTGTTTATATTTTGATACTTGTGTAAAACATTGATAAAATTTATGGACCTACTAATTCTCAGTTTTCAGCTAATTTTCATCAATTACTGTCAAGCATAAAAACTTGTGAATTTTAAAAACGATCCTTATCACCAACTTGTGTTTGTTATTTGATTGGATTTGAAAAAAAAACATATCTACGCTTAAGTAAAAAATTAAAGTTGTATTTTCTCTAGTATGAACTGATGAACAAAAACAGGTGATTTCCAATAACATATGTATTAAAAATATATAATAGTGGATTTGATGAAGAGGTTAACATGTATGAGGTTTTTCTCAGTTTATAGTACAAGAAATTCAGATGAAATGTATTCCATGCAATTTTGTTTCTTTGTTAAGCAGCACTACTGGTTGCACAAGCTGTCAGCCATGTTCCTCGGGATCGTATAGTTCTCTTCCAGGGTCATTAACCTGTGTTCCCTGTTCTGTTGGTAAGTTAATAACATAAAGATTGTAAAGCAACTGTCAGCCATAGTCTTCAGGACCATATATTTCTGTTTTAGGGTCATTAACATGTGTTCCCTGTTCTGTGGGTAAGTTAATAACATAAAGCTTCTAAAGCAACTGTCAGCCATGGTCTTCAGGATCATATATTTCTGTTTTAGGGTCATTAACATGTGTTCCCTGTTCTGTGGGTAAGTTAATAACATAAAGATTCTACACCAGTTGTCAGCCATGGTCTTCAGGATCATATATTTCTGTTTTAGGGTCATTAACATGTGTTCCCTGTTCTGTGGGTAAGGTAATAACATATAAACTCTACACCAGTTGTCAGCTATGGTCTTCAGGATCATATATTTCTGTTTTAGGGTCATTAACATGTGTTCCCTGTTCTGTGGGTAAGGTAATAACATAAAGATTCTACACCAGTTATCGGCCATGTTCCTCGGGATCGTATAGTTCTGTTCCAGAGTCATTAACCTGTGTTCCCTGTTCTGTTGGTAAGTTAATAACATAAAGATTCTACACCAGTTGTCAGCTATGTTCATCAAGATACTTTAATAGTATTCCCGGTATATCAGTCTGTGTTATTCTCTTGATATATGTATACCACAACATGCGAAATATGCCTTTCAGAATTAGGGGGTTAATGGGTCCAAATAACAAGAAAAATAATTTCTGGGATTAATAATTTCAAAATATTTTTGTATATTCTAGGATTCTTATGAAACATTAGAATAACAGGCTAATTTTGTCTCAACTTGTGGTTTGACAGGGTATATTTATCTTTATTACAGTTACACTTCTGTATGATGAAAAGACTGATTTTAGCTAACAGAAGAGCTACAAGAATATACCAGAAAGGCCTAAAGAATATTTTAATGACTACATATAAAAAAACATTTTGTAATCCTCTGTACCTGTGGAACCGAGGAGTAGTGTAGTGTAAGATAAGGCACAATAAGATTGCTTGTGTAAATAACAGGTTATAGTTAGTGTAAGATAAGGCACAGTAAGATCGCTTGTGTAAATAACAGGTTATAGTTAGTGTAAGATAAGGCACAGTAAGATCGCTTGTGTAAATAACAGGTTATAGTTAGTGTAAGATAAGGCACAGTAAGATCACTTGTGTAAATAACAGGTTATAGTTAGTATAAAATAAGGCACAGTAAGATCGCTTGTATAAATAACAGGTTATAGTTAGTGTAAGATAAGGCACAGTAAGATCACTTGTGTAAATAACAGGTTATAGTTAGTGTAAAATAAGGCACAGTAAGATCGATTGTGTAAATAACAGGTTATAGTTAGTGTAAGATAAGGCACAGTAAGATCGCTTGTGTAAATAACAGGTTATAGTTAGTGTAAGATAAGGCACAGTAAGATCACTTGTGTAAATAACAGGTTATAGTTAGTGTAAAATAAGGCACAGTAAGATCACTTGTGTAAATAACAGGTTATAGTTAGTATAAAATAAGGCACAGTAAGATCGCTTGTGTAAATAACAGGTTATAGTTAGTGTAAGATAAGGCACTTAAGTAACACAGTAAGATCACTTGTGTAAATAATAGGTTATAGTTAGTGTAAAATAAGGCACAGTAAGATCGATTGTGTAAATAACAGGTTATAGTTAGTGTAAGATAAGGCACAGTAAGATGAGTTTTTCACACCAATCCAGTTGGTTTTCATAAAATGATCACTAATATGAGTTTTTCACACCAGTTCAGTGGGTTTTCATAAAATGATCAGTAATATGAGTCAGTTACATGTACCAATTCAGAATTGTTATAAAATAATCAGTAGTATTAAAAAGTTAGTGAAAAAAACTAACCTTAATGGAATGAATTTTGAGTTTGATAAGAAAATATTGGGAAGTTCAAAGAACAATAAAGTTTGTGGGGCAGATAATATTTCCCAAGGATTTTGAAGGAGGTTACAGATTGGATATGTGAGCCACTTGCTACTATTTCTATTTATTTCTGGCAGTTATTTGGATTTAAAAATAATTATTTACAAAGAAATAATTACTAATCAGGGGTGCTCGAAGATTAAGCAATCCTCCTTCACCCCACGCGTGGACTAGGAGTATGGGCTTAAATTGAGAAACAGGAAATTAATGCAAACAAGCTGTGTAAACTTAAAAAGGTAAACGTAAAAAGTGAAGAGTGAAATAATATGACAGATAAACATTAGAGAATATTTTATAACAGTTATTCTGTGAAAACCCTCTGAAAGTAGAGTAAATGGCCAATATGAGACAGAAGGCACTATTTTTTTGTAAGTTTTTGAATAGTGGGCAGGTGCCAGAGGGTTGGAATTTGGATAATATTACTGCTTCTTTTTTTTTTAAGGGAGGTGATAAAAATTATCCCAGTAATTGTAGGCCTATTAGTCTTACATCATTTGTGGGAAAAGTTTTTGAAATTTTGGTAAAAGATACTTTGCAAAGTAATTCAACCAAGCTTAGAATTTTATTGGATAGTCAGCATGGTTTCACTAAGGGAAAAATCTTACCTTACAAATATTTTGACATTCTTTGGAAAGGTTACGGCTTATGTAAGGGGGGTAGATTTGATGTATCTGGATTTTCAGAAAGCATTTGACAAGGTACTACATAAAAAGTTTGTAAGAAAATTCTCTCTCTATAGGTGTGGGGGATAAGTTAGCTAACTGGATAAAAGAGTGGTTGAATGGAAGAAAGCAGAGGGTTGTAATAAATGGAGTTCAGTCAAACTGGATTAATGTCACAAGTGGGGTACCTCAGGGCTCAGTCTTAAGACCTTTGCTCTTTTTGATTTATATCAATGACATGAATAAATGGTCAATAAATTACTTAAATTTGTTTATCATATTATGGTTGTAGATATTGCTGGCTGTGAGGAGGATGCTACTGCTTTACAAAAGGACTTAGATCATTGAGTGAGTTTGGCAAATAAATGGCAGATGGGTTTTAATTATAATAAATACAAAATAATGTGTGTGAGTTATAAATTGAATTATAAGTATAATTTGGATGGGAATAACCTTAACAGTGTTATGAAGAAAAGGGATCTTTTGTAGTGATTGATCAGCCTCTTAAGCCATTTAAGCAGTATGGTGTTACTAGTGGTAAGGCAAATAGGATTTTAGGTTGTATCTAAAGAAATATTGAATACAAGTTTAAGTAGGTTATAATTTCATTGTATAGGTCAGTGGATGGGCTACATCTGGTGCATTGTGTTTAGTCTTGAGCTTTTAGCCTCAGTAAGGACATTGAGTTCCTGGAAAGGGTTCAGAGGAGGGTTACTAGAATGGTGCCTGGGATGGAAGGATTGTCATATGAGGAGAGGTTAAGATCTCTGAAATTGTTTTCTGTTGAAAAAAGAAGAGTGTGAGTGGATCTGTTTGAGGTGTTTAAGATTGTTAAGGGAATTGATAGTGTTGATGCATGATCTTTTTCATACTTAATGGTGAGAATAGTAGGACTAGAGGACATAAATATAAATTTTGGCAGGGTAAGAGTCATCTTTAGATAAGACATTTTTATTTTTCTAACAGGGTGGTTGGCCTTAGGATGTTGTGGAGGCTGTAAATTTAAGTGAGTTTAAGAGAAAGCTTGATAACTATATGCCTGATAAGGGCTGGATTTGAGGTGTTTTTTTTTTATTTGTTTTTAACAGTTTTAGTTTAGAGGATGGGACAGTTGAGATGTTCCAATAGGTCTCTAGTTGTTCCTAAATATTTGTTATGTTAATGAAGTATAAGAAGAATTGAACTTAGAGAAATTAGTTTTGACACATTTGTTTGTCCTTTTCAGTCTTATATTGTCTTCTAGCAGGAAAAATTGCCAATAACACACTCACGTGTTCTTGGAACTTCAAATTCCCTTAAGGACACAGATGGTCAGAGAGATGTTTGACCTAAAGTGATCTTGGAGTTGTTTTAAACTTGGCATGCTTTTGACTAAACAGCCTTTGAAGATTCTCCTTCCATTTTTTCTGCCATGAGACTGAAGAGGACACATGAATGTTTCAAGACTAGTTTCTTTAATTTCAAGTTTTCTGTTGTTCTTCAGTTGGTTATGATTGTTTTTCTCTAACCTTTTAACTGCTACACATGGTATTGTATTAGTCCAATACAATCTCTAATATTAATCTATCACATCATTTCAGAGGGTTTTCACAGAATAACCACTGTTATAAAATATTCTCTAATGTTTATCTGTCATATTATTTCAGAGGGTTTTCACAGAATAACTGCTGTTATAAAATATTCTTTAATATTTATCTGTCATTATTTCAAAGGGTTTTCACAGAATAACTGCTGTTATAAAATATTCTCTAATGTTTATCTGTCATATTATTTCTGAGGGTTTTCACAGAATAACTGTTATAAAATATTCTCTAATGTTTATCTGTCATATTATTTCAGAGGGTTTTCACAGAATAACTGCTGTTATAAAATATTCTCTAATGTTTATCTGTCATTATTTCAGAGGGTTTTCACAGAATAACTGCTGTTATAAAATATTCTCTAATGTTTATCTGTCATATTATTTCAGAGGGTTTTCACAGAATAACTGCTGTTATAAAATATTCTCTAATGTTTATCTGTCATATTATTTCAGAGGGTTGATGTGTAAAATAACTAGTAATGATTGGGTTCACAAAGTAATTTACCTTAAGGCATAATTACATTTTCTTGTGTGTAAATAAGATTTCTTTATGAGAAGGAAAAGTGACAAGGATTATGTCTCATGTTAGCTGCATAGTAGTAAATCAACCACTCACTAGTCAACAGAGGTTTGTATTAATAAATTGTTTTAAGAAAAAAAAAGAGGTTTATGAAAGAGAACCATAAAGTCCAGTCTTTCTGTAAAGCAGATTTTTTTATAATTTTTCTAATGTAACTTCTATTTTAAGATGTTACATGTGACACAATGCTATTATCAAATGAAGCTTACGAAAAGTTGTCATAATTTTGTGTGATGTAATTGTCAGTTGGTTGTTTAAAGCACGAAAACAATAACTTACAAAAAGTAATTATTGAATTAAGGTTTTTGTAAAAAAATTGAAGTTTGTTATAAACCCATTAGAGAAAGGGTTCATCATATTATTTATAGTTTTTTTGTTTTTTTTCAGATGTGAGGTTATTGGTATTTCTGTCAGTAGTTTTTGTATTGTTTTGATGGTTTAGTAATTTTACATTTTCAACTGGTTGGGTAATTAGTTTCCATTCAGTGTTTTAACTTCACCAACTATTATTTTAGCTTGCCATTCAGAAGTACTTTTACAAGTTTTCATAATTTCTTTGGTTCTAAACTAGAGAAAAAAATATTTAGATACTAAATTTGTCTCTTATAGGCTTTTACCAACCAATAAGAGGATCTTCAGAGTGTATCAAGTGTCCTCCAGGAACAGAAACTATGTGAGTATTTTTAAGCTCTTATCTTCTCTAATACTTTCATGTAAGATCCATGTATAGGTTTGAAGACTTAGGGTATATACTTACATCAGTGATATAAGTGTTAGGGTATATACTTACATCAGTGATATAAGTGTTAAGGTATATACTTACATCAGTGATATAAGTGTTAGGGTATATACTTACATCAGTGATATAAGTGTTAGGGTATATACTTACATCAGTGATATAAGTGTTAGGGTATATACTTACATCAGTGATATAAGTGTTCAGGGTATATACTTACATCAGTGATATAAATGTACTAACTGAACTGACATTCTACTGCCTCAAGTTGTTTCTTTTTTTGTTGTAAATTATTACAAATAGAAAATGTATATAAGGGTTGTTGCAAAATAAAACACAGTTTTTTCCACGAAGTAATGATGAACTCGGTAGGACCGCGAATATCATCACTCATGAGAAAACGTCATTTCAACGTACTATTTGGTGATTGAGTCTTCGAATTTCATTTTTTGCAAAACTTTTGAATCATGGTGCTCACTAGAACTCGGGTTCGTGTTGCATGTGCTGCTTTCGGGATGGCTCAGAAACTAGTTGCAGACATGCTCCGAGGATTCAAGCCTTCCAATTGACACATTGCAATGGCAGATTTGAAAAATCCAATTACCGCTTCAAAAGTTTCAGAATTGTTGAATTTGAAAAAGTGGTCCGTGAAAAAAATGGTGGAATGTGGACTGAAAACTCTCCAGATTTAAATCGTGCCAAAAATGACAGAGCTTTTGTTCAACAATGTACAGAATAAATGTTGGAAACTTTGCCTGAATGCGAGAGACACAAACGTGAAACCTTGATTCGTGCTCTCAATGATGTGCTCACAGAAACAGCCAAAAAAACAGACATGTTTGTTGCATTGCTGAAATCTTTTGCAAATCGATTAAAATTTGTGCATGAGAACAATGGTGGCCTAATCAAGCAATATTGATACTTGGAATTACTTTTTTGATTGAATTAAAATCTTATTTTACTTTGTTATGATCTCAGGGAAAAGTTTGATTTATTTTGCAACACCTCTTATATCCATATTTGTTCCACGGTATTACAAAACTAAAAACAATACAATTTACTAAAGTATATATGACACAGTTGTAAACTCTGGACAGGATAAACCGTATACTGAAGTGATAGACTGGTGTTCCTGACATATTGAAAATAATATGATTTAATTCCAAATATATAAAAACACAAAATCTCTGGGCAGTCTATAAGAATGATAAAATTAAAACACTCATACAGCAGTCTGACATTCAGAACACATAATCCTTTACCATTGCACCTAGAGAAAAGGCTGTAGAGTTCTAGATGTGCAGTCTGAGTTCTTTTTTTACCCAAACTCAACTGCTTCATCTCATATCTATAAAACTTTGCATTAAAGATTAACTAATCCCAGCAAAAAAGTAATCACGTAATTATAAAGTGTTTCTAAACAACACAACAAATATTCGTCAAGCTGGTAATTGAGGCATGCAATGTATGTGTGTGTGTGTCTGTATTTATAAATTATAATAATTAAATTATCTGGAGGTTATAAAGATTTCACATGTGCAATTTGAAAGTTTTCTGATGCATTCTGTTTTCTGTATTTATAAATTATAATAATTAAATTATCTGGAGGTTATAAAGATTTCACATGTGCAATTTGAAAGTTTTCTGATGCATAAAAGTATTTTTAATCTTAAAATCAAAATTATTTCGTATTTTGGATAGTCACATGCAAAGAGAAAAATGCCTTATTGTGGTTTGCCAAATGGAAAATCTGTTATTAAAACCAAAACAACTTTTATGAAGTTTAAATACACAGGCCTGTGTTATTATTTTTTGAATTAAGCTGTTCATTACTAGCCTGTGTATTTTGCATATGAAAGCCTTGTAATGTTTACTGATAATCTGCAAAACTTCATGAAGATATTCCTACAAATTTTAAAGTTACAGCATGAAAACTATAACAAGCACAAAATGGTTATGAGTTTGGCCCCAGATACTTAGTCTGTGCTGAAAGAGTTAAACCCAGGTCTTTTCCTGAACAAAAAAGTTCCTTCCTTTCTCGACTGCTGAATGGCAGCAATTTTTCCTAATTGGAGGTTATGTTGCTTAAAATACAAAATCCTTCTTTACCTACATACTTGATGTACGTACATCATTAATGTAAGTTAATAACACCAGCAATTGAAATGTCTTATGTGTTTAAAAAATATTCTTCCTTATTGTAAAAGCTGTAACTTGTAAAAAGTACTTGTAATCAGTAAATAAACTCAAATGAAACTCTTCAGTCAAACACTTTTGTTTTGTAGGTATTTAGGCCAGAGAAATTGTAAAAACTGTCGGAAAGGTCATTTTAAAAACGACAGCATGACACTGTGTCACCCTTGTCCTGGAGGTCAAGAAACAAAGGAAGAAGGAAAATATAACTGCACGTCATGCAAGCCAGGTGAAGCATTACTATTGTATGTTATTTTTCAAGACAATAGATACGAGATCATAAAGTATTACCTTATAAACCTCTTAAGCAAATTCCATTATTTTATCTTTTTTTACATAGTAAATGTGATTTCAGAAAAGTTTAATACTTTAGGTGTGTACTTTTTTTTTTCAGCCAAATCATGCTCAATGTCATTAACAGATAATTTAGGTTCAGAGTCAGAATCATCGTCAATTGTCTTGGCAAGTGTAAAAACACTGGAGTTAATTAATGCCATTTTAGGTCTGCTTTCTCATAAACAACTTTCAACCAAGAGTATAACCTTTTTTTGTTGTTGTTGTGGTTTGTTTGATTGTTTTATGCAAAATACACCATGTTGGATACGTATCAGCAGCTAAATCATCATCCGTGCTGATGAAGCTTTGTCTATTGATTTTGTGTGCTTAATTCACTCTGGAGAGAAAAGGGAGAGTAAAGCTCCAAAAAAAGAATGCCAGGTCAGATGGCAAAGGATACTGGTCTCACATTGCCAGAGGAAGTAAAAAGGGCTATGTTTGAATATCTTGATCACTTTAATCAAGAATTGGAGATTCGTTCTAAGACAATGGATCAAATGCTATCAATCTTTGCTGTTATTCAGCCAAACACATTGGTTGCTGGAACAGAAGAAGAACTTTGGAAGTATATTCGAAATTCTACACAGATTTTTGATGAATTCTCTGATGAAGATATCATTGTGGAAATTGGATGAATTCAGAGGCATTTGGAAGCTGCCAAAATGGACAGCATTACAGTTTCTGGCGTTCATTTTGAAATGGGATTTTTGTGAATCTCTGCCAAGCTTGTCACTGTGTTTGAGATTCTTTTTCACTGTCTGTGTGTCTATTGCTTCATGTGAAAGAAGTTTATAAGAACTGAAATTGATAAAAAATTTCTTTCCCTCAACCTTGAGTCAGACAAGATTGACAAATCTGGCTTTTAATTGAACATAAATGGTGAATTTTGGTGAGGTCATTGATCAATTTGCAGAAATTAAGGCCCAAAAGCAGAGACTGTAAATCCTCTCTATTTACTTTTGAATAATAGGCTTAGTGTTGAGACTGGATTTTCTGTGTTTTTTGTATAAAATAAAATGCGATATTACCTGTTCATGGAATTTTTAATGTCCTACATTTTCTTATTTCAGATTTGCTTATGACAGTACTGTACTGTTTAAAAATCTTCTTGCAAACATAATGTATTTTCCTGTGTATTTAAATTTAAAATTATTTATGGGGGGGTGCCAAAGGAAGGGTTCACGCCGGGTGCCAAACAATACAGGTACGCCCCTGACTACTAGTGATAATCTTAACATTTTAACATAATCATAACACCAGTAGTATGTTTAGTATTAGGTATCAAACATTTTGTGTACTCTATAGAGTGTTGAGTATGTTATATTAAAATGTTTTGGAGCCTCCCTGCATCATTACAGTCCAAAACCAAGTCATGCTCTATCTGACAGCCATACATCTGGACGATAGCTCTTCAGTGTCATTTCCATTGCAAAAAGGCTCCATCATAAGACTTTCATATCCAAAGCACACCAATCCTACCTGTTTATTTTACATGTGATCCATCTAGTATACAAGTAGAATAGTTTCCAGGTAACATGACAAATATGTTATCATGTGGAATAGTGTGAATACTTGTTTCATCCTCCAGCTGCCTGAGGTACATGATGTTGAACAGGAGATATTACTGGAAGCCTTATCTTTATGTACAAAGTTTGTATTTATGTCTGCTTTTCTGATTCCTAACTTGCTCCTGCCACAATATTTAAGAATAGTCACGAATTTCTTCAAAAAACATTTTGTAAAATGCTGTGTACCGCTTTTGAAAATTTGTTTTTATCCATTGATTGGTAAAAAATGACGTAATACTTATTCAAGTTATAAAAAAAGATATTTGCTTCATCAAGTGTCACCATGTACTGCCATTTTACCCCAGCTAAATGCCATTCATACATTTTACTGTAGTTGGTCTGGTTTTCCTCGATATATAGTGGAAGCAGTTTATGTATATGTAATTTGTACTGCTTTTGTAGACAGGGGGGCCCTTCATCAGTATATTTTATAATGTTGATTGGGACAAGTGGTTAGCTTTTTTCACTGACCGATTTGTTCATGGAGACACTGCACTTTCTTTAACACAGCTAGAGTACAACTTCTTGTAGGTCTCTTTCTAGGTGTTCCTGGTACCCCAAATTGATCCATATTTCTTTGTTTTTCAATGGCACTAAGTACAAGGGATATCTCCATCTTGGAAGCTCTAAATCTCTGAATACATCTTTATGACCTGAGTTTATGAATATTCTGACTCGGAAAGGGATGTTATACACCCTTTTCAAAAGCAATCAATTTTCAGTGGTATCACACTACCTGTAAAATTCTAAGCAATGTTAGAATGAAGCTGTGATACTTGCAGTTAAATTGACTTTACAACAGCTGTGGTTGTGACATGACTTACTATATTCAAAATCTTTTTAATATAACATCTGTAATTTTGACTGTTGATAATAATCTTTGTATTTTAGAGCATGATTATGATATCAGCAGTATGTATTGTAATTACATATGTGACATATTTTTGACTACTCTAATTTTGATTATTTGTGATAATCTTAGTATGTTATAAAATATATTATTTGTAACTTCTATTTGTGCACATTGTATTTCTATCTGTAGGTTATCACAAAGAACTCGAAGGAGAACACATGTGCTATCCATGTGAGTTGGGTACTTACACTCTGCTTTATGGCTCCACTAGTTGCACATCTTGTCCTTCAGGATTTTTTTGTCCTGTAAGTGGTGGAACATGTTTTCATCTTGATTATTAGTTTCAACATTAAATTAAGATTATTAATTTTGATTTTCAGTGGAAAAGTGTTCTGTATTTTCACTTAGTAAAATAATAGTTCTAGTTTCAGTCAGTTTTGTGACAGTGTTTGTTTTTTCTTACATTATTAACTAATTAAAAACTGTCATGTTAGGGAATACAATTGACAGCAAAACTGCTTTAAATACTGTCAGATCCATTCTAGTCTTTTGTTAACCTGTCATCAATAACACAGGCCTGCAAATTTAAACTTCATAAAAGTTGTTTGGTTTTAATAATGATTTTCCATAAGTCAGCTACACAGATTTTGAAAATATTAATTTTTTCAATTACATAATCAGAGATGAAAGTCTTCCGGATATATCCGGAA